TAAAATAGAATTTAAGAAAAAAATATAAAAAATAAATGTGAATTTTATACATTTTATTATAATTTATTACATTTTATGAAATATGATTTTTTTTATTTATTTATCTACTTAATGGCAATAAATGAAACCTAGTTTCCTTTTCATTTACCACACTTGAAAATAATAAATGCAATTAATGAAGAAATATAATTAATAAAATATAGGAAAATTTAAAATTTATTTGAAGATTCCATGAACAAAATTTTATGTTTATTTTTAAAATTTTTGAATATTTAAAGATTTGAAGATAAGATTGTTGTTGATTTGGAACTCATTAACTAAGAAAATTTGGGGGGAGTTGTTTATCCCATTGTCTTTATAGTCTCTATCTCTTTTTTTAACTTTAACTTTCCATGATATTTTGAATTTATAAATTTTAATGTTTTGTTGGAACAACAATTTCACCTAATTAAAAGAAAAATTATGAGATTTAAGTGGTAAGAAAAAAAAAATCAAGTTTGATAAAATAGTAAGTGCAGTCTTAAGTTTAGTTTAAATGATTGATTAATCAAGTCTACTAAAATAGTAAGTAGAGTCCCACTGAGTAGTAAGTATTGTTTAAATCATGAGTCAAGTTTGATAAAATAGCAAGTGTTGTTTAAGTGATGAGTCAAGTTTAATAAAGTAGTAAGTAGAGTCTCATTGAGTAGTAAATGTTATTTAAATGAGTGATAAGTCAAGTTTGATAAAATAATAAGTAGAGTCTTATTGAGTAGTAAGTGTGGTTTAAATGAGTGGTAAGTAAGTCTGATAAAATAGTAAGTACGGTTTAAATGAGCAGTTTCCAACTTACTACAACAACTAAACACACTTACTACTTGATATAGTTGTACTTACTATTCCACATAACTACACTTACCATTCAAACATTAATAAAATGCACCTAACCTCTAAAATAAATATAAAATTTATAAAATAGAATGTAAACAAAAAAAAAATGTACAAAATAAATATGAAATTTATAAATTTTATTATAATTTTTTACATTTTATGGAATATGATTTTTTTTATTCATCTACTTAATGGCAATGAATGACAATAAATAAAACCTAGTATTTTTTTCATCTACCACAATAAATGCAATTAATGAGAAATATGATTAACAAAATATAGGAAAATTTCAAATTGATTTGAGGATTCCATTCCTTTTCATTCTACTTGCAACTCTTTGTGACTCAACTGACCACTTACCATCCATTTTACCACCTAGTAAGTAGAGTCTCATTAAGGCTATGTTTGGCATCCCTTAAAAAAAGTCAAAAAGTCACTATCATATTTAAGTCACATCACCTCTCTACTACGTCACTTTAAACTCAACTCATATTTCATAAAAAGTTAAAACATGCACTTATTTAGAATATCCCAAACAAACCCTAGTAAGTGTGATTCAAATGAGTGGTAAGTCAAGTCTGATAAAGTAGTAAGTACAGTCTTATTGAGTAGTAAGTGTAGTTTAAATGAGTTTAAGATCCACAGTGAAATGATTTTTTTTTTCTCCACAAATTCATATGATTGGCTATGAATATGTTTTTACAAATTTAATATCTACAATATTTTGAAACATAAATGGAAGTCTACAAATTTACCACTTACCATCCATTTTACAAATTCGAGAAAGTCTCCATGTAAGTATCTATCTATGTCTCTATCTATGTTTTATTTTAACTCATGTGATATTTTTAATTTATTAATTTTAAGGTTTTGTTGGAACAACATTTCACCTAATTAAAATAATAATAAAAAAAAACATTGAATAGTAAGTGGAGTTTCATTAAATAATAAATTGACTTAATTAAGTAGTAAGTGAAATCTAATAAATTAGTAAGTTAAGGTTGATAGAGTAGTAAGTAAAGTATCAACGAGTAGTAAGTAGAGTCTTATTAAGTAGTAAGTGATATACTTTAGTAGTAAGCAAAATCTAATGAAATAGTAAGTTGAATCTCATTAAATAGTAAGTGAGATTTAATTGAGTAGTAAGTTGCCCAATCATTAAGTTGTAGTGAGATTTAATTGAATAGTAAATCAAGTCAAATTAAATTGTGTCTTACTGAGTACTAAGTTAAGTCTAATAAATTTTTACATTTTCACATTTTGTTTGAAACTCATATTTCTTGTGTTAGTAATTTGAAATTCATATTTCTATTTATTATTGACCAATCATTGAGTTGATGATTTACTAAGTTATTGTTACAACATTTTGTGACTCAACTTGCCACTTACCAGTTTACCACTTAGTAAGTAAAGTATCAATGAGTAGTAAGCAGAGTTTGATTATAATAGAAAATAAGGTTTAATTTAGTAGTAAGTTAAGTGTAATGAAATATTAAATGGAAGATTATTGAGTAGTAAGTAAAGTATAATGAAGTAGTAAGTGGAAATTCATTAAATAGTAAGTACAATTTAATTGAATAATAAGTGAAATCTAATGAAATAATAAGTGGAGTCTTATTAACTAATTGTAATATCACTTACCATTTGGTTTGATCTAACTAATTTTATTATACTTACTACAGATAGAAGACAACATTGGGTTTAACAACACCATATATGAATTACATATCGGTGGTGCTACATGTATCTGTTGGAAAATTTGAATTTAATTTACTTCAATGGTTGTGTCTCTTGAAATGAAAGGGTGTGTCCTTTTGAAGGATCACAACCTTTTTGAAGAGTCACTTAGAAGTCTTTATATTCCATGTCCCTCACTTCATTTTGAATGGTGAATGGCCATTCTTCTTCACTTTGCATTTTTCCTTCATTTTTTCTGAGTCTAATTTTCCTATAAAGAGAGTTCATGCACAGCAAAGTTCGCTAGGCTTGCAATAGTAGTGCTGCTAGTGCAAGACATTGATCGTTGTATCCTTTGGGTATGATAGACGTCCTCTCATGTTGAACATCCTAAGCATGGTGGGAGACGAATCATGTCTTAAGGCAAAGAAGTGTCATACACTCGACTCGATAACGTATTTTAATCATATTTATAGTATAAGTACGTTTTATCCTGTATTTTGTCATATTTCAATTTCAATTTCGGTATTTGCCCCAAAAATTCGTTTACATATTTTTTTAATTATTTGTTTCAAATAGTTTTTGGTACTATTTTTTCTAACGCATCTTAGACAGAATTTCGGTCTATTTATGGTTTTTGGGGAAAATATAAATAATGAGTTTATTATGATCTACGGGTTGGCACTACTGCAATATGGTGGAGAATAATTCGGAGAGTACTTACATTTGGGTGGCTGATTGTGATTACTACTTTCTTGGATATTAGAATATCATAGGATTAATAACGCACTTTTTAACCTTAATCATATAAAAGAATTTTTTTTTCTCTTTTTGCGTGATTTGTTCAAACAACGAACACACACAAATTGATGATTTATAACTAACTGAATTGAAGTGAGAAAATTGGAATTGGAAAGCATCAAAAGTTAGAGTGATTAATAGAATACTCACTGGTTGGTTGATCGAATTTAAGTTTGGAGTCAGTTTCGATCGGCGCGAATTGTTATTGCAAGTTATTGGGTTGAAGGAGGGAAAACTAAATTGGACACACATTCAAAAACTGCTGGAACGTTTAATGCCATTATGGGGTGTACATTAGAAAGAGTTATTTGCTCAGATTTCATGAACAGTATGATTTGGTGCATCTGTTTTGTAGAAATATCATATATAAAAAAAAAAAAAACTATTTCCGACGTGAAACTAAAGAGAAGATAGTAGATAATGTTTTTCATCTGAAACCATATGTGACTGTTCAAACAGAAAAATTACCAATTTGTGAATTGATGAGTGAAGGTCTTGAACACACCAAATCGACTCATAATAACAATTTTTTTTCCACAAACAGATTACACATGAAACAATGTCATCAAAACATTATTAGAGTTTGGATGTTGTCTACGACCCAAACGCCGGGCGCCTTGGGTTTAGCACCGTTAACCGCAGTAATAACCGAGATTAACCGTCTTGAGGTTCTGCTTAACAGTAATTGAAGTAAACAGAGTACAGGGTTTGGCGAGCAAGTCAATTTTAAGCTAAACTGTAGATGCGGTATTG